CCTCACATAAGAGAAAATCTTTCCACTGGGAGAGAATTTCTCTTGAAATTCTACTACTGGAAAGCCCATGCTAGGTAGTGTGAGGTATACTAAAATTATTAAGAGACATATCCTGTATCCTCAAAGAGCTGACAATCCACAGGGGAGACAGGACATAAAAACAAATAACTATACTAAGATGGTATGTGATAAGCCACAAAAGTGATACAAGCAAGGGGCAGTGGGAGTTCCTAGGAGAAAGGACCACTTCAGGTTCACAGATGAAGGAAGCCTTCTTAGAGGAAATGGTATTTGAATCGCACTGAACATGACGGAATCCACAGAGAGATCTGTGGGAGGGGAGAGCATTCTAGAAATGAATAGTTTAAACCAAGACCCAAAGGCAGGAAAGCACAAAGCCCTCAGAGAAAAATGTGAACAGCTCTCGTTGTCTGGTTGAGGGTGTATGTCGGGGGACTGGGTGAGGGAAAGGTGAGAAGGGGGCTAAGCAAGTCACGGAGGGCCTGTAACTTCTGGAAAGCAGTGGAAGTGAGTACAGGGACACATGGAGCATTCACAACAGGCTCAAAAGAAAATTGTCTATAGGACCATGTGCCTGTGGATTAGAGAGTGAGGATGTACTGGGAATAGTTCAGGTGAAATAGATTTAAACAAAGATGCGGAGGAGAAAAGAAAGAGGATAGAGTAAATGTAAGAAAGAACTGATCAGATTTGATCACTGAATACAAAGGAAGGCAAAAAAGAAAAAAAAAAAAAACGGTGAGTGGTAATGGCTGATTTTAAAATTTCCAGCCTCAGTAGACAGGAGATCATAGATGTCATTACATCATAGAGCAACTCTGAGAGGCGGCGTCAGTTTGGAAAAGATAACGGAAGATTCATTTTGGGGGAAACATTTAGTTTGAGGTGACTTGAGTCACCCAGCTGGAGATATCTGACAGGTCATTTGAAATGTAGATGAGAAGTTCTGGAGAGAAGTTGGGGCTGGAGATATGGATTTGGTACCGCGTCCGAAGTGCTAAGAGCTGAAACTGTGGACAAGAGGGCCAAGGGGAAGATGGCAGCATTGGGATAGATGCATTCTGAGGACAGACCCTGGGGAGCTCAAACACTGGACCTCAGCACCAAGGAGACAGACCCCACCATGATGAACCAGCAGGCTGCATCAGAAATGGCAACCCCTTAGCTTCCGGAGGTTTTCTGGATGTACCAACAGCTCCTCCCAAAGGATCTCCTAGGTAGAGCCCACCTCTACCTCCCTAAATACTGCCCAGCTCACAACCCCCTCTGAGAAACTCCCTGATCACCCTAATCAGAAACGAAGCCTCCACCCCAACTCATTTAGAAGGCTGTCGGCACATATATCCATGCATCATGACTATTTATACCGATGTCAGTCTCTGTCCACATCCAGCTCTATCCCTATATCTCTAAACATTCTACTACTTTCCTGCCCCAGAACAAGAAACAACAGAAAATCCTTCAGATTTCTTTTTTATTTCTCCTTTCAAATTCTTTGTCTCGTGATTTCTGGTCTCAGTTCACCGCACAAAGAAAACATGAGAATATTTGCAGAGAGAAAAAGAGGAGGAGAAACTGGAAAGGACAGCTGCAAAGGCTTCATGTTATTTTCTGATAGATATTTTCTGTTTCTTGAGCACCAATAGGTTAGGTGTTATTCAGAGTCCACAATGAGAGATGATCCTCCACATAAATTATTCTATCCTTGTGCGATATGATCTATTTTCGCTAATGATTAATTCATGAAACCCTAAGTCTTCCTACTTCCCTTCCCACACACACACCCCCAAAGGTTTTAACTTTAAATTATACCTCCTTACCCACCAGAAAAATCAAGTCTATAAGCCTAACTGCTGGTAAATTTGACAACTAGGTATACTTTGGGCTACAGTTTGTTACCAACACTAAATTACACTGTAATTGTTTTTCTCCAAATTTCTATTGCCTGAAGCATGTTGGAGAATTTTTAAAATGATGAGCTACATATTGGGTCAGACCTGCCCAAATACTGTGATTTTAAGCTTAAATTTAAGTTTTAAGGTAGAGAATTACTTTTTTCGTGTTCACTTTCAATCTTAAAAAAGCTGTGGGTCACGACCTAATGTCATTTGAAATTTTATTTGAGGTTCGAAATGGGCCAACCTCATAACCTCTATGTGTTGAACCTGTACAGGAGTGAAGGGAGGGTGATCTCCTGCAGCACAGTGAGGATAAAGGTTGCGTGTTAATCCAGAGAAACTGAGCTGCTAGCAAGAAATTACAGGGAGGCAGCCTGAACCCACAAGGAGCACGGCCTCACCATGCGAGCTGCTCACCAAACAGCTGGCTTCTTCACATGATGGAAGGTTCCCCATCGCCCGAAGCAAGTACACACCCGGGAAGAGGTGGGGCAGGGACAGGTGGGTTGGGCCTGAGGGGCCTCTCAGGGCAACTCAACTCTCAGATTTGCTTCACTAATAGAAATGACTTCACATCATGGGTGTATCTTTACCATACATGGCAGCTTTGAGAACTAAACAGAGGAGGAGGAATACCATCCCAGGATGGGAGCAGGCCATTCTGATCTCAGTTTGCTCAGCTATAAAATGCAGAGGTGGACAGGATGCTAAAATACCCTCAGGTTCTAAGGACCTACAGACGATTCCTTTCCCTGTGTCGGCCCCATTTGCCAAAGCCTCGTGGAAAAGGTCAGAAAATACAGCAGGGCACTCGCCTTGGGAAGCCCTTGCCCAGCGGGGTTGAATGAATGGTGCAGAGCCTGAGCCCGGGGTGGAGGGTAGACTCCAAATGGAACAGCTGAGACCCGCACTCAGGGAGCTCCCAGGCCCCCCTCTACAGTCAGTATCACTTGCCCATCAGGAACCGGAAAACAGCACAGAAAAGTCGCAGCTAAGCCAAGGTAGCCCACAAAACACTAGTAGGTTCATAATGAATCACTTAAAAGTGTCCCCCATACAGCATTCACAGTCACATGGACGCTGTCAGACTGTTTATAGGCACGTGAATATCTAAAATCATGAGTCGCACATTTGCAAATAGCTCCTCATTGTAATCATGTTTCAGATTTTGAGGCATCTACTTACTGTGGTGCAATCCCTTTTTATAGTAATATTCCGAAAATGAACCCTAAATAGTGTCTAAAGAAAGACAAGGAACAAAAAAAGGAACCAACTCTGATATCATGTTGGCTGTTTCCATGAGCTAAACTGGCAACACTTGCTCCTAGGATTTGTCTAAGAACCTTCAGCTCTTGCAAGAGCTTCGTATTTTACTTAATGTCATCAAAGCATCATTTCTTTGCTAAAGAACAGGAACAGGAGTTTTCTTGACCTTAAATCTGGTAACAGGCATAAGCATGATGGTTAATGGCACTAAGACATCAATTCAAATATGGGCGAAGTTTTTCTGTGATTTACTGGTGAAGGACAAATTTTATATATAGTTAGGTGGCAAATAATTACAGATCAATTCTAACATATTGCATTTTAGAAACAGAAAACAGTTCTGAATAGAGTAAATATTTCTTTTACTATGAAATCTTTAAACTAGGAGTTATTTTCTCTGGCACATAACAGCTCTTATCTCGGCTGTTCAGGGAGTCCCTAGCTAGTATGCTTTGAAGCACAGGTGAGAAGAAATGCCCTAAGCACACCTGGAATTATTCCGTCCACACCTGTCAGCTCTCCTTTTGAAAAAGTGGCTGCCATGGGGACATGCCTCAGGTCACCTTGAGGTTAATTTTTTTTAAGAAATCAGAATCTTAACTCCTTCCTTGGAAAGATACATACCACATGAGATTTTTTATCATTCACGCTCCATCTAAAACAGAAACATGTCACTGAGAATTTCACTCCTAAAAGTGATGACAAATCGTCACTCCTCTATTTCAAAACCTTCAGACTGTCAACACACACACACATATCGAAAAATTAAGAGTTATGCATTTGCAAATTTGAGACTGGCACTGTGCCATGATGCAATCCCTAATTCCAGTGGGGTTTCTAAAATGACTCCCATATGAAAGTAGGTCTGAGACACAGCACCTTCAGGAAATCAGGTGAACCAAGAACCTCTCAGAAATGCTTACGAACATGTCAAGATGCATTACTTTTAGGAATAACCAGGTAGACTAAAATTGAGAACTACAGAGGTACAAATGTTCCACCCATGAGCTCTATAAAGCCGAGAAAGGATAGGGAAAAAACAAGCTTGGAGAGAGGAAATTGAGAAAAATAATACAAAATCAATCTTATTCTCAATCTCTCTTCCTCGTCCCCTTCCCCCTCCCCGTCTTTCACTCTGTCTCTCTCTCTTATTCCAACTTGATTCAACTACTATAATCCCTTCAGAACAGCTTTCCACATGAAAACCGCTTAGATTTCCCTGGCAAATTCTTACTACCCAACACCTGAGGTGTCATGGCTTCAGATCCAGTAACAATGACTTTGAAGTCGATGAGGCTGAGATGGGGTTTGGTCCTCAAAGCCTCAGCCCAAATGGGGCAGCCTTGGGTCTTCTTTAGGGACAGCAGCTGATGTGACCTGCTCGGACGCTATTAATTCATACTTTAAAATGCAGCTTACAACACCAGTGTCAGGAACCAGGCCCGCAGTGACACCATCTCAGCTAACAGGGACCTTCCTGGGCACAGAACTACAAGAAGCTCCGCTGGGCTTCCCTATTTTTAACGTCGTTTAATTAACTTTTAGAAATCAAGAGCTCCACCACTATGAAGGCATGACGGGTAATCACAGGTGACTAAAATGATTTTCCCACTAATATTTCATGTCTTTTTCTGGCACATTAACTCCCCATAACTTAGAAAATGGTGTCCCAACAATGGTAGATTAAGGTAGTCAACCCAAGTTCTTAGTTAAACGCAAAGAAAATGCAACGCTGTTGTACCCACACGCTGATTCGCCCTCTGCTGGTCCTGCCTGTCTGGGATGCAAGCCCGCCCACCCGTCCGCCCCACTTACGGTTGGCCAGCCGGCTGGGCTCAGGCTGAGCGCTGTCCGCTGACTGCGTGCTGGACACCGAGGACACGCTGGAGCTCCGGACGAAGCCAAAGGCCGCCAGCTTGGCTGCCGGGAGACGCGAGTAGCCAGGAGGACGAAGTCCAGATTTGGGTAGGTTGGATTTTGCAGCATTTGAACCGGAAGGTTTCTTTAAATCTGCTAAAATGAACCCAGAGCAGAAAAAAAATCTCAGTTGATAGCAAGATAGAGAAGACACAGATTGTGAACGTTAACCCAGCTCCAGCATAAACGGACCACAATTACTCTTGCAAAGTCTGATTCAACACATTCACAAAGGCATCTGTAGGAGAAAGGGCCCTCACTGCGGGCCAGGTGCTAAGAGGAGGAGAGACAGCAGGCAGACGAGACCAGAACAGACAACTCACCCTATTATATGGCCATAAAGAAAGGTATAAAGTGCTTAGGGGGCTGAATGGAATGAGGACACATACTGTTGCAGGTCACCCTAGAATTGTGAAGCTGAGATACATCTTGCTTCTGACATATGATGGGTGAAGAACCCTTGTGGCCAAACACTCATCAGCAATTATAAACTGTATGTAATAAGTCACAGAGACACATACAAAGAATCATTTAGTGGTGGTAGGAACGAGGTGAAAGAGCACAAACTGTGTAGCTGGCTGAAATCTAGTCTCTACCAATTACTACTGTGTAATCTCAGGCACTTGATCTAACACTAAGAACCACAGTTTCCTCCCGTGGAAGCAACAGGGTTGATAAAACTGGCCTGGAAGTGTTAGTGTAAGTACTACTGCTTGTAACACAGAACTTGATAGGTGCTTAAACTGAGGCTAGGTTTCATTCTCTCCTTTTTCCATTACCTGTTTTTATGTTAGTCTAAACTTCAAAATTAGTTCCCAGATATGTGCAAAGCCAGCTAATTTGAAATAATAAAACATTATTATAAATGCATGATCTCAGCATGATCTTGTGTCTGAGCCAGGCTCCATGCATAGCTACTGTGACGATCATCCCAACCCTATGAGAATTCTCTCAATACCAGATAGAACCAGAACATTATCAACACGCAAATGCTCGTTTTTTAATAAATTCATTTATTTTATTTATTTATTTTTGGCTGCGTTGGGTCTTCGTTGCTGCACGCGGGCTTTCTCTAGTTGCGGCGAGCAGGGGCTACTTTTCGTTGCAATGCACGGGCTTCTCATTGCGGTGGCTTCTCTTGTTGCGGAGCACGGGCTCTAGGCACGCGGGTTTCACTAGTTGTGGTGCATGGGCTCAGTAGTTGTGGCACGCAGGCTGTAGAGCACAGCCTCAGCAGTTGTGGCACACAGGCTTAGTTGCTCTGCGGCATGTGGGATCTTCGTGGACCAGGGCTCAAACCCATGTCCCCTGCATTGGCAGGTGGATTCTTAACCACTGTGCCACCAGGGAAGCCCACAAATGCTCTTTAATATGACATTTAAAAGGAAAAAGGGCCAAGCGTCCTGCTATTCTGTATAATTGTCCTAGTCGAGCCATTTAACAACTTTCACTGCAGCCATATTTACTGTGAGTGCTTGTTCTTACACTACAGTCAGGCAACTCTTCATTATCTACTGAAAGCTCCACCAGGTTGCAGATTAATATTAAAATGGGCTATTTGTAAAAAAAATTCAAGGTCTAAAAAATCAATGAAGAGTCTACATATTAGAAAGCATCTATGTGTGGAAATACAACAAGAACCAACAGATGCCAGGCTGGGCCTGCAGTGCCCTTTTCTCTAGCAGCAGCTCCCCTGAGAGGGAGGCCATGGTCACTCGTAGGTCCAGGTGACAGCAGAATCTGTACAACTGTGGCTTCCTGACGTCTAGGTCAGGACTAGGAAGGGGAGGAATCAGGTGAGTGCAAAGGGAAGAGGGGACAGGGAGCTGGTGCTGCAAAGATTCCCAACTCAGGTCTGTTCTAACGCTTGGAAAAAAATGTGCAACTAGGACAAAGAAGAAATAATCACTGTTTAACAAGTAATACTGGCCCCTTTGTATCAGAAAGTAAATGTCATGTCAGTGCCTTAGAATTATTGTTCTCTGCTTCTCTAAAAGACATAAAGTTATATGAAGTAATAACTAAAAATATGTATTACTGGGTTTGTAACAGACACAGATGTAAAAAGGAGAAAGATGGAATAGAGCTAAATAGGAGTAACATTTCTGTATCTCACTGACATTAGTATAAATATTAAGTAGATTCTGATAATTTAAGATGATATGGTAAGCCCTAGAGCAATCAGTAAGAAGATAACTCAAAAAAATATAGTGAAAAAAATCACTAAAGGAATTAAAATGCTACCTTAGAAAATACTTAGTGCAAGAGAAAGCAGTAATGAGTAGAGAAACAAAAAAGACATGAGGCAGACAGAAAACAAATAGCAAAATAGCGCATGTAAATACAACTATATCAACAGTAACAGTAACAGTAAACGTGAATGTATCAACCAATCCAGTCATAAGGCAGAGACTGACAGACTGGATGAAAAACAAGACTGAAACATATGCTGTCTGCTGGACAGACATTTTAGATTCAAACATACAATTAGTTTAAAAGCAGAAGGATGGGAAAAGACATATCATGCAAAGAACAACCACCAGAAAGCTGGAGTGGCTATACTGATGGCAGAAAAAACACATTTTAAAACAAGAAAGAGATAAAGAGGGATATTTTTATCATGATCAAAAGTCAGTAAATCAGGCAGATACAGCAGCTGTAAATATATATACATCTAAAACAGGGTCCCAAAATACACAAAGCAAAAGCTTACAGAATTGAAAGGAGAAATAAACAATCCAAAATAATATTTGGAGACTTTAATACCCCACTTTCAATAATGAAACAACTAAGCAGATCAACAAGGCAACAGAAGACAAACACTATAAACCAACAAGACCTACAGACATCTAGAAAACACTCCATCCAACAGCAGCAAAATATACATGCTTCTCAAGTGTACACAGAACCTTCTCCAGGATAAACTAAATATTAGGCTATAAAATAAGCATCATTAAATTTAAAAAGATTGAAATGATACAAGTGTATTCCTTTCCTGTTTCTTTTCTGTTTTTTGCTTGTTTCTGTTTTCATCTAACGTTCCAACAAACGTTCAGCCCTGCAATACACACAGATTCAGTACTTTCATTGCTGAGACAGTTTATGGTCATTGCCAATCTACCATTGTCCAACTTACCCTCCCTGACCTTTAATAGCAGAATTAGGGCCCAGAAATACCTTGGCAGAGACAGGTGCTGGTGACATAATCGAGTAGCATCAAGGTGTGAATATATAGGAGATGAGACTCTGTAACAAAGTAATGACACCATTTTTCTTGTACCTGGTTTTGGAACACATTTCTATTGACTGTACTGTATATTTGAAATCAAAATTGTCCGTCACAACTCTGCTCCTCTGAGCTAGTCCTACCCATTCACATTCATTATGCACAGCAACTGGAAAGAAAAGCCATAAGAAATTCACCTCCATGTGACAACAGATTAAGATCCTTGTGGTTGCACTACTATCAGCTACATTCGGCAAATTCCTGCTCCCTGGATTTCTGCCCATTTTTGAATCCTGCCCCTGTCTCCTTAAACATGTCACCTGTGATTCCCTGATACTCCCTATCCCTTCTCAAAGGACTATGGTTGACTCAGCTCTGTAGACCCCCTTCTCTGTAGATGCCTGAGATCAAGCCTGTTCAGCCTAGTCAAGTTGACTTTAGCCTTACAAGGGTTATCTATAATTTATTTCCACGCTTGGGTTGCACAGGACTGAATTAGTTCTAAGTACAAGCTCTAACTCTCCCCAGAAGTGAAATGTTAATGGATTTAAGTGGTGTTAACACAACTCTAAACACATGATAAAATTTCACAGAACTAAATATACATGTATAAACACACACACACACACACACACACACACACACACACACACAGGAGTGCATGTAAAAATGAGTGAAATTAGACTAAGTTCTGTAGTCTAATTAATAGTATTGTCTCAGTATTAATCTCCTGGGTTTTTTATTCCTTTTTAAAAATTTTTCGTTGCTTATGGGAAGCAACTAAAGCAGTACTTAGAAGGAAAGTTATATCTATAAATGCCTACGTTAAAAAAGGAGAAAGATGTCAAGTCAATAAAGCAACCTTCCACCTAAAGACACTGAAGAAAGAAAAGAGAAAACTAAACCTAAACCAAGCAGAAAGCAGGATATAATAAATAAGACAATGGAAATAAATGAAATGGAATGGAAAAACAATAGAGAGAATCAATGAAGTCAAAAGTTGGTTCTTACGAAGATCAACAAAGTTGACAAACCTCTAGCTAGACTAAACAAGAGAAAGGGAAGACAAATTTTTAAATTAGGAATGGAAGAGGGGACATCACAACTCATTCTTCAGAAATAAAAATAATTATAAGGGAATATTAATGAACAACTATATCTCAACAAATTAGATAATCTAGTGAGACTGAAAAGTTCCAGAAAGACACAAACTATGAAAACTTACTCAAGAAGAAACAGAAAATACACCTATAACAAAAAGATGGAATTCATAATTCAAAAACTTCCCAGAAAGAAAAGTCCAGGCCCAAATGTCTTCCCTAGTGAATCACATCAGACATTTAAAGAAAAATTTATACCAATTCTTCATAAATTATCCAAAAATGGGGGGAGGGGTGAAGAGAACACTCCCAAACTCATTCTGTTAGGACAATATTACCTTGATACCAAAACCAGACAAAAATATCAAGAGAAAAGAAAACTACAGACTGATATCTACTGTAGATGCAAAATTCTCATCAAAATATACAGCAGGGCTTCCCTGGTGGCGCAGTGGTTGAGAGTCCACCTGCCGACGCAGGGGACACGGGTTCGTGCCCTGGTTCAGGAAGATCCCACATGCCATGGAGCGGCTGGGCCTGTGAGCCATGGCCGCTGAGCCTGCGTGTCTGGAGCCTGTGCTCCGCAACAGGAGAGGCCACAACAGTGAGAGGCCCGCATTTGGCAAAAAAAAAAAAAAACATATATATATATATAT